TCCCTCCAAACTACGGACCAGCTCTGGAAACCAAGCAAAGCTCTGTTGACTGGGATCCAGATCCCCATACTTGATTTCTGACACAGACGGATGATATCCTTATTGGCTGACCGTCTATTCCCCCCTCCCACAGGTATCATGTTTTACGAATTCTTTCCTGAATTCCTGTGGTTCAGGCTCCCTGGCTGCTCCACTGACCTTGATTCTCAATGTGATAATTGCCTTCACCAAGTTTCTGAGGATTTCTGGAAGTAAGCTCTGTTACTATGGGGTCCTCTTGTCCTGGTAAGCCTAGCACTTTGGTAGCATCTCCTGCAGAGGTGCCACTGAAGTCCTAAGTGGTGTTGGAGGCCCTCTCACCAAAACACTCTTTAGCACTTGAACCTTCCTGGGGACCACATTCCTCTGCTGGGGTTTCCAGCCTCCTAGAGCATACCTACTTGAGCATGCACATCCCTCCAAAATTTCTATCCCTTATCCCACCAGACGTCACTAAAATTCTGGCATCTCTACCCCACTCAGTGCAGCTACCAATTTCCCCATGTTATTTGAGGACAATAGCTTATCTCCATCTCCTGGAGCCCTTACCTGGGTGTTCCATCCTGGACTAGAGACAGTGAACCCACATTGATAATATTTCCTTTATCAAATCTCACAGTCTTGGGCTGGGGTTGTGGCTCAGTGGTGGAGTGCTTGCCTTGCATGCATGAGGCACTGGGTTCAATCCCCAGCACCACATTAAAAAAACACACAAACTAAATAAACAAAATAAAGATATTGTGTCAATCTACAACTGAAAATATTTAAAAAAATAATCACAGTCTTTTCTCCAATATAGCAATGGGGTCCGGTCCCCTGCATTCTCTTTCCATCTATGGCTCCAGTTGGGTGGATTCCATGATCCCCATTAGGATTCAGCACTTTTCCTCCTGGTCAGGCCCAGCATGTCCCAGGACGGTTTATGCTGTGACTTAACCCTAGTTATATGACTTATGGTCAGAAGGGGAGGTGGGCACATGCTCTGTGGAGGAGAGACCTCTGTACCTCTTCAAGAAGGGATCAGGCAAGGGTCCACTCCATAGGCTTAGAGAGGCCGGAAGACTCCGGGCTTGAGAATTTTAGCAGTGTCCACCCAGATGGTGCCATTACATGTGTCACAGTCCTACACTTTCCCAGGCACGGTCTTGGTTTTGGTGCAGCAGGTCTGATGGGCTAAAAGTGTAACCATCTCTGAAAATTGGCTGCTGCTAAAATGAAGTCCCATGCTGGGTCTTCAGCCTATTCTGGCTTTCCATTGCAGGAGTATGAGCCTCTTATTGACTTCCAAGAAGGCTTCCTGGCTTTTGGGCCTAGATTTTAATTGCTGGTTCATCACATTTAGCTCTTCATTCTCTTTTCTTCAGAAGTCAACAGTAGTCACTCAGTTCTGTTGACCTCATATTAACGATTTTTCTTCTCAAATGCCTGATGCATCGCACCAGCTAATGCACCCTCTACCAATGATACGTCATCTTGCCCTAGTACCATTGAAAGTCCTAACAATTGTACTTCTGCCTTGTTGCAGGGACCTCATTTCCCACCAGCAGTGGGGTTCTTATCATCGGTATGGTGGCAGGGGATCTGGATCCAGTGTCACAGCTTAGTGCTTGCTTTCCTGTACCATGCCTGGCACCAACGGCCACATGTTGGGTTCCTTGGGAAGCAGACTCTGAGATGGCTATGACTGTGCAGGGTGTTGATGGGGGACAGCTCTGTGAAACCACACCCATGCAGAAGAGAGGAAGGAAACAGGGCTGGGAAGAGGAGGAGCTCAAGCTGTGATATAGCTTTGACCAAGGTCTTAGGTGATCTCTTAGAGAGCAATAGGCTGGGAAGGGCCTTTAGAGCAGTCCCATCTGGAGTCCTTTGTGATCCTCCATCACTATATGTGAGCCATTGGGAAATGGTGTTTGGCCTTGGGCAAGGGGATTCTTTTCAACCTAAGCACTTTGGCCTTAGAAGCCTGGTTTCTGGCAACCCTTCTAGCATCTTGTGGACTGTGTCTTTCATTCCTGAATGGGTTCTGTGCAACACCCTGCAGTATTCACCACACCCAGATCAGGTTACCTGGCTTCCAATGCCAGTCCATCTACAGATTGTGACCTCAGACAAATCTCTTAGTCTTCCTTGTCCTCAATTTTTCTTAAGTCAAGGAAAACAAGGTTTATGTCCATTTTAGAAAGTTATGGAACCTACAGTAAATCAGAAATCAGAAAGTCATCTGTAGGCTCACCACCCAGAGATAGGCATCTCTGCTCTGAAATTTTCCTGTATTTTTGTTGCATTTTAATATTATTGTAACCATGAACGATATTCATTTGTTGTGTTCTCATTTTTACTTAAGGTTGTGAAATGAGCATTATCAAAAACTCTTTGTAAGCATTAATTTTAAAGGTAGGTTGTTTCTGATTATAAAATTAATAGCTAGACACAAGAGATTATGTAAGATAAATCACCCATCACCTCTTTGTTTAGAAATAACCACAACTAAAATTTTGTTGCCTAGCCCTCCAGTTTCTATGTTTGTATGCATGTGTGTATTTATAAATTAAATTTAGGGATGTTTTCTATATGTTATGATTTCAGTTTGATCTTTTCACATCTCATCTTGACTATTCCTTTGAGATATTATGTATTTTTTATATTATGTGCCATCATTTTAATACCTACATAATATTTGATTGCATATATATCATACCTCAGTCTGCTGTCTGCATATCTTTTCTAATATAAAGAATTCTCTGATGCAGTGCCTTTCATGTATTTTTTGTGTCTGTATTCATCTATGGTCATTTCTTTGTAATAAATTCTTAGAAATAGACTTATTGGGCAAAGTCTATGGACATTTAAGTTATTTGATACATGTTGCTAAATCACCCTTCTAATAAGTTGTACTAATTCAGAACTGTATACAGGCAGACACAATGTGGGCAATTGTCACGCTGTCCTAGTACCACACAGTTGACGTTCCTCACCTTGGGTTCCACGTCTGCAGATTCCGCTGATCCTGAATTGAAACCATTTCAAAGAATCGTGTCTGTAATGAACATATATGAGCTTTTTCCTTGTTATTTCCCAGTCGATAGAGTATAACAACAATTAACATAACATTCACATTGTATTAGGCATCCTAAGGCATATAGGGATGATTTAGAGGGTACAGGAGATGTGTGAGGTAATATGCAAATACTGCACCACTTTATGTAAGGGACTTGAGCATCCAAAGATCTTGGTATCTGAGGTGGGGATCCTGGAACCAATACGCCATGGATACTGAGGGACGACTGTATCAAGTTTGCACTAGAGATGTCAACGCTGGTGCCTGTCCATGCCTATATTCCCTTATAAGGGAGACTGCTCACTTGTAGTTCACCTTGAAGAGGCCACACTTGTAGCTATGTTTATGTGACACAATAGCTCATCCTTCCCTGGGGATTCCCAAGCAAGGGCAAGCAATGCCCAGGCTCAGCACACCCTATGATACGGAGGCCTGGCCCCTGGAGGGTCAGCCCTAACTGTGGTGACTACTATTTGCTGGCCTGGTCAACTTCCCTCTCTTGGATATTAACAGGAAACCTAAATGCTGTCATTTACCCATGAGAGTCAAAGTTTAAATGATGGGTCATGGCAAATTAAGGAGCCAAAAACTATGCTTAACACAAATAAGTTAAAACTGTGAGAAAAAGCAGAAGTGTTAGGTAGAGAGAAGAGATTCAGTGGGAGATGAGGTTATTGGTCTTGCTAAGCAAGTTGGCAATGGAATGGAAGCAGGGGGAATCACAAAAACTCGTTAATAGTAAAAGAGTGTGGTGAAGATTCTTGACCTCATATCCCCCAATTTCCCAGGACTGCCTTGGACCCAGTACCTGTTCTTTTGGGGACTGTTCAAAACTCGGGTCCTGTTCTTCTACTGTCACTTCGCTGATGTTATCCAAAGACATTTTAATATTGCTGTTCTATCTCCACCAACTTGAGCTTATCTCAGATCTTAAAGGATGTAAAAGAACATGAATGAGTCACAAACGTCATCTATTGAAGATGCTTTATTTTATTTATTGTTATCATTGTTGACCATTGTAAATGAGGCCAAGATGAACATCTTTGTGCATTATACCATGTGTGTGTGTAACATCTTTCTTTTAATTAGGATTGGCAGTGCACAAAATTCTGCAATCAAGGGCAAAAACACTGAATTTCTTCTATCATTAATACAAGAGCCAATAGGAGATTGGGAGGAGGCTGACCATGTCAGCCTCTAAGGCCTCCTGAATTCCCAGAGATCTGTTCTCTTCAGTTCTCCCCCATATAATTCACAGATCTCACACTTGCCAACTCTACCCCTACTGGGCCAAGAAAGGAGGTGTTTTCCTCGTGCCATGGCATCTTGGAAGATGTAACTTGTTCTGTTGATTTTTACAGAGGCTCTCAGTTAAGAGATTGCCTCGAGTCTCAGAGCAGACTTTGGACTTGGACTTTTGGGAAATGCTGAAACTCTTAAGATTTGCAGGATCCTTGGAGATGGACTGAATGTATTTTGCATTGTGAGATGGACATCAGCCTTTGGGAGCAGGTTGAATACTAAAGTTGGGATCTTAAATGTACCCCCAAAGTCCATGTGCTGAAGGCTTTGTCCTCAGCCTTTGGTGCCACTGGATGGTGGTGGGACTTTTAGGAGGTGGAGCCCAATGGAAGGAAGTTAGGTCATGGCGGGGGGGGGGGGGCAGGGGTGACCTTTTGGGGCACACTGGGATTCTAGCCCCTTCCTGTTCCTCTCTTTGTCTTCTTGTAGTCATGAGGTGAATTGCTTCCTCTGCCACAAGCTCCTGCCTGGATACTTTATGCCACCACAAGCCCAAAAGCAATAGGACCAACAGACCCAATAGATAAATGCCTTTCCTCATTTTTCCTTGATTTTCTCAGGTATTTTGTCACAGTGACGAAAACCTGGCTAACAGAAGGAATCCCATCTTAGACACAAGCATTGTTCTGGACTGGGCTTGCAATATATGATTTTCCTTCCAAATTCAGAAGCTACAGTTTCTTATCATCAACGACTTCTAAAATTTTAACAATTAAAAAATGTTCCCTGCCTAGAAGGAAACAGAGGTGGGTAGAGTGTATGTCTGTACATGCATCTGCGTGTGTGTGTGTGTGTGTGTGTGTGTCTATGTCTATGTTTGCTATGGTTTGGATGTAGTTTGTCCCCAAAATGTTCATGTTCTGGAAGTTTAGTTTACAGAGTGGCAATGCGTAATGGTCGTGGATCTTTAAGAGATGGTGGGAAGTAATTTGGCCATGGGGCACCACATCTCATGAATGGATTAAAGTTACCTTGAGGGAAGTTTAACTCTCATGGAACTAGATTAGTACTATGAGAATGGTTTGCTATAAAGCAAGTCTGTCCCACATACGTTGTCCCTTCTGCACATGATCAGTCCCACTTCTGCTTCTTCTGCCAGGGACCCTCACCAGGATGCCAAAACTATGCTGCCTGGACTCTCTAGCTGCCCAAATCATGGGCCAAATAAATATCTTTCTTTTTAAAGTATCCAGCTTCAGGCATTTTGTTATAGCTACAGAAAGTAGACTAAGACAATGTCCATGTAAACCTGGACATTATATCTGCAAGTATGTATGCTATTAAAGATTTGGAGGCTTCATATTTTTAAAAGGTAATAAGAGAAGGTGCGGGGGGACTGGGGTCTATTGAGAATTCTTGTAACTTATTATTATTAATCTCAGTGAAGTTTCACATCTCTGGAAAGGATCAGGGCAGTGTGATTTGTACCATGGTCATGAACAAGCTGCCCTAGGGGAGTCAAGTGCATGTCAGTTTGTGGTATTTGTATACAGCACAATCCTGTTGTTCTCTGACAGTCTAACAATGCTATACTTTGTAAATTATGTTCCTTTCCCAGAGATCAAAAGATTACAAGTTCTCCAGCCACACTTGCTTTGTACACACAGCCTTTTAATATTTTCCAGAACTATTCTTTGACTTCCAGTTGAGCAGAGAATTGAATTAATCAGACTAAGTCCAGTAAGTATCTGATTGAAGATTGGGATCTACTACTATACGGTGTCATGTAACAATTTTGCCTTTGCCTTAAATATATTAAAGTTATGATGCTCACTATTATAATTTTTCTGTGATCCACCAGGTTTAGAACCTAATAGGATCCAAACACAATAAAATTGCCCATGCAAAAGGTCACCACTATCTAAAGCTGGGAAGACTACATAAATGGAACAGCAGACAGCACAGCATAAAAGGTCCGTGAATTTTTTTGTTAACTGATGTGTGTGTGTACTACATGAAATTAGAACACACGCTTAGGGAAGACAGCAATGGCTATTTGATAAATGGATGCCTGTGTTTAGTTAGTGTTGTGGTGTGAACTGATAAATACAATCAATAAGAGTGTAAGTTATAGGTTAGAGATTAGTAAAAAATATAGATCATAGATATAAGATTTTGGTAAGTGAGATAAGACAATTATAAAGCAAGAACTCTCATAGGCAGGCCCAAGACTCCATTTTGCTGCCTTCTTAAAAAAAAAAAAAAAAAAAACTATTACAAGAGCTATTTCTGAGAAACTGAAATGAAAGCTGTTTTCTTATAATATATTGTTTTCTGTACCTTGTACCCCACAAAATGTACCCAACCCAGGAGATGGTGGTCTTGGTGTCCCAAGACTTTGAAGTAGATGCATACTCCCACTAACCACCTGCTTGAACTCAGGATGCAGTTGTCTAACATCTGCTCAAACCCAAGATGCGATTGCTGAGTTGCCCTGCTAACTGCTGTCTTAGCTTCTGTGACTGGCTTGCTTGCACGACACAGGAAAGTCCCTGAGCTATGGTTTTCATCCTTAAATTCCCAAGACACAGGCCCAGAAATTGCTATTCTCCCACAGAGCTTCAGTCCCTACAGGTGGGTGACAGTCCCTGGCCAGGTAAATAAAGCTCTCTTTGATTTGAATTTGGACTTAGAATATTTTCTGAAGCGGCTCCTCATAACATTAGTTTTTGGTAAGATAATAAAAAAATCTAAGAGGCTCAGAAAATTAGCAGAATAATTCTATTAATAAAAGTTCACTTTTGCTTTCCAAAAGACATGTGGTTCTATTTATGGTTTGGATAGAGGGGTCCCCTAAAAGCTCCTGTGTTAACACAGGACCATTCAGAGGGGAAATGATTCAATTTTGAGAGCTGTGACCTAATTAGTCCATCCTAGTTTGAAAGGGCTATCCAGGTGGTAACTGTAGGCAGGTGGGGTGTGGCTGGAGGAGGCGGGTCACTAGGGTGTGCCCTGGAAGGACTTCACATCCCTGCTGCCCCTTTCTCTCTCTCTGCACTTTCTGGCTGCCAGGAGCAGAGCTGTTCTCCTCTGTACCCTTCCGCCATGATGTTCTGCCTAATTTTGGGCCAGAGCAATGGAATCAGCTGACCTTGGACTGAACTCTCTGAAATGGTGAGCCAAAATAACCTTTCTTTCCTCTACGTTGTTCTTGTCAGGTATCTTGATCACAGCAAGGCAAAGCTGACCAACAGTTCTTTGTATTAAAAAAAATAATAAATTCCTCTCACTACACTCCATGTTTTTTAAAAAATGCAAGTCCTAACTATAAATTAAATGCACATGCCACTTGTTGGACTCTCACAAAGACCACTTAATAAATCATTTGTTGTTCAAGAGTCTTACTCGTGAACAGCATCTACTTGGGGACATTTTCATAGTCTCTTCCTCATCTGTTCAAACCCTTTTACAACATCTCAGAAGAAAGCTATTACAGTGGCTCTCTCTCTCTCTCTGGGCTCTCCACATTCACATATTTAACCAAATCATGATCAGAAAACATTGGGGAAGGGGTTGGGGATGTGGCTCAAGTGGTAGTGCACTTGCCCGGCATTTGTGAGGCACTGGGTTGAATCCTTGCACCACATAAAAATAAAATAAAGACTTAAAAAAAATATTGGGGAAAATTTTGCCTTTGTACTGAACATGTGCAGACTTTTTTCCTGGTCATTTTTTTAAAAACAATATAGTATAACAAGTATTGACAGAGCATTTACATTGTATTATATGTTATAAGTCAACTATGTGGTATATATGTGTATTAAGAATTGTAATGCAAAAAAAGTATAAATAAATAAATAAATAAATAAATAAATAAATAAAAAGTATGTGAGAGGATGTCTTTCCATTCTGTGCAGATACCATGCCATTTTATGGAAGGGACTTGAGCAACTACAGATTTAGTATCTATGTCCTGGAACCTGTCTCCCTGGGTGCAGAGAGATAATGATTGCAATTATCTCTGCATTTTCCTGGTATCCTCAGAATTCTTTGCTTCTTATGTACAGAATCCTTCTTTGGCCTTTCAAGCAAAAGACCTGGTTCTTATGCACCATTTCTCTATGGCTTCTGGAAAACAAAGACACGAATGTCTCTTTTGCTACAAGTAGCTCCTGCGTCACTTCTTAGTGCAGAACCCTTCAAGGACAATACAGTAACTTTTAGAAAGCATCAAATTTTCTCTTTCTCATGTTGTTAAGAACCACCAAAGCAAACAACATGGATCTCCTCAAACTTCCATCTCACACCAGGCAGAAGACAGCCAGTGTTGGCAGAGGGTGGTTCACACCGCCCATCTGCTCATGAACAGCAGGCAAGGTGGGTGGGCTCAGACACTGGTTGCACTTCTCCACCCAGGGCTTCTCCCCTGGTGTTATCCACGGGTTATTTATGTCACCATGGTACTTCTTTGTGAGCCCCTAGGGGAACGGGTTCTGCTTTGGGGAGAGTCCTGAACCACTGTTGGTAAAAGCTCCATGGGATGTCAGAAGAATTTTGTTTTCTATCAAAGGAGAAAGAATTACTATTGGTGGATGACAATCGATGATCACAATAAAAAGTGTTGATTTGTGATGATGAATGAAGGTGAGCAAGATTCTGGAAAGATGGAGCTCTCTGGGATGTGCTGATTATCAGATCCTGTGTCCCTTAAAAGCACCATGGCCTTGGCCTCCTGGTGTCAACAGTGGGGCACATTCTGTGGGAGCCACTCAACACCCAGCTGCTCCTCCTCACGTCCTCTGCACGGCAGAGCCTGGGGGACTGAAGGCCTGCCTGCTGCTAGGGGCTGGAGGACAAATGAAGCTCCCAGTTAGATGCTGGATTGTTTCTCTGTCGCTGAGTAACAAAGCCCTCCACACTGGGCAGCTTAGTACAGCTAACATTGATTCTCCCTCCCGGTTCTGAGGGTCCACTTGGCTGGTGGGTCTGGCTCAGGGTCTCTTTAGAGGCTGCCATCAGCTGCTAGTTGGAGGAACTCAGCAGTCAGCCTCACTCGGGTGTTGTTAGCAGGAGGCTTGTCACCAGGAAGCCCACCAGGGGGGCGTCTCCACAGGGCCACCTGAATGTCCCCAAGGCAAGGTCTTCTTTTGCCTTAGATTCCCCTTCTCCCGGGAGAGAGAGGAAAGTGCAGGACTGAGATAGAAGTGATAGTGTCTTCTAGAACACAATCTTCCAGGTGACTCAGAGTTTTGTATTCTGTTGCTCCCACAGGCCATCGCTGGTGCCACGGGTACCAGGAAGCATCTCTTTGGGATCATCTCTTTGGCTAATAAGCTGGGATAGGAGGGGTTTGCTGCATGCAGCAGGGCTGGCCTATCTCCATGGATGTCAAGAGGCATTCTAGAGGCTGTGAAGGGCACGTTCAGCATTGTTCCGGTCCCCAGCTTCCTGTTGGTGACAGCGCTAGCTCCCTGATCTCTACATCTCAGCCCAGCCTGTGTGCTCTTGAACTCAGCAATTCCAGACGCCGCCGTTTCCTGGAGAGGCACTAAGGACTATACCTTTGGCTCTCCTTCCATTGGTTCTGTGTATGTGGATTCAACCAAGTCAATGAAAAATGAATTTTTAAAAATTTTCATCTGTACTGAACATGTACAGCATCCTTTCTCGTCGTGATTCCCTAAGCAGTGTAATGATTTGCATATTATTTGCATTACTTTAAATGATATAAGTAATCTAGAGAGACTTAAAGCACATGGGAGGATGTGTGTGGGTTATATGGCAAACCCTGTGTAATTTACACGAGGGACTTGCACATCCCTGGGTTTGGGTGTCGAGAGGGGTTCTAGAACAATTCCCGATGGATACTGAGGAGTGAGTGTATTCCACTACCTTCCCTTAAAAATATCAACAGTGATTTCCTCAAACTGATCCTGGAACTAGACTAGGACTGATGAGGACAGGTGTCACCCCTCCTGGCAATAACAGCAGACATCACTGAGTCGCCCGTGAGCACGGTCGTGTTCATTGATCTAATTCTCCAGGTGAGGAAACTGTGATGCTGAGAAATTAAGTGCATGACTACACTTGTGAATTCCATTGCTGTGAATTCACACAGGTAATGGAAAGCAGAGCTAGATATCAGGGCCCATACTCTTTTTTTAACTTACTGACAACAGAAATTCATTTCTCAGAATTCTAGAGATGAAAAATTCAGGATCAAGGACTGGCAAGTTTGGTGTCCCGTGAAAGCCTGGCTCACAGGTGGCTCATAGCTGTGTCCTCCCATGGAAATAGGGACAAAAGAGATTTCTTGGGCCTCATTTAGATTGTTTTCTTTTATTTACTTATTTACTGGGGGATACTGGGGACTGAACTCAGGGGCACCTTGACCACTCAGCCACATCCCCAGCCCTATTTTGTATTTTATTTAGAGACAGGGTCTCACTGAGTTGCTTATCGTCTCACTTTTGCTGAGGCTGGCTTTGAACTTGAAATCCTCCTGTCTCCATCTCCAGAGCTAATGGGAATACAGGTATGTGCCACTGTGCCTGGCCCTAGATTATTTTATTTCATTTTATTAATATTTTTATTTTTATTAATACATAGTGATTGTACATATTTATGAAGTATGGTGTGTCATTTAAATACATGTGTATAATGAGTAATGATCAGATCAGGGTAATTTCCATATCCATTGTCTCAGAAATTTATCATTTTCTTGCTCTGGGAACATCCAAAATCCCTCTCTACTGGCTATTTTTCAATATTCAATTAATTATTTTTCCAACACAGTTTTTCTACTGTGCTAAGAATGTTAGAAATTATTCCTTCTATCCAAGTGCACCCCTGTACCCACCAACCGTCCTTTCTCCACCCTCCCTCCCCCATACACTGGGCCCACCCAGAAGGTCACATCCTGTGTGGTTCTCCCTTATAAAGATGGCTTTGGCTTAAAGGCTGATGAGGTCTTGGGTTTCTTCATAGCCTCATTTTCAATTTTTATGAGACACTTGGCAGCTAATAATTCACTGTCCAGAGTCTTAAGCTCCAGGCATAGTACAGCACCAGTGT